ACTGCAGCAAAGGTTCTGCAAATGTTCATATTGATCATCGTTCAATAAAAACATGAAAAATGGCTGCAGATAATTCTATAACCCAGAGTCAACCTACCATATAACCAAAAAGGAGGGAAAGGAAAGGGCATATGTTGGAACTAGATAATAGAATCATGATGACAGAAACTGTGGCAGACACAAAAAGATCAGGAATTCTCTGAAAAAAAGGGGGAGGACAGTAATTATAGTGTAGCATGATGCAACAATCCAGGGAGACACTCAGGAATTCTCAGTGAGATCTGACTTTGCCAGTTTACCCTACCAAACATGGTGGTTAGAGTTCTTAGAGTGTCGTCTTCAGTTATTTAAATTGTCCTGTTTCTTGGATACACTTCCAAGAATCAGGTAGAAATAATTGGAAAATTATGTTCATAGCAGACACCATCACCACTGCCAGAGTGGCTAAAGCTGGGCACATCATTTCAATGATGGGAAATGACAGAACATAACACTGAGCTATTCATTAACATGGCTAAAGTCTGACACAAAATAGATCTTTGTGACACCAGGTTCGTGAGCAAGAATGGAAATTTTAAGATCAAGGTGGTTTTGGATCAGCAATGAACATAGGCCAGTGGGTGCTTTTTGGACAATACTTGGGGCATATTAGGATATGGACAGAATTTTTACAGTTCTGCTAAGAACACTGCTCGGCCAAAGTCTTCACAATCACACTTGAAGAAAGAGCACATTGTGACCAAGTTTCCTGAATGGCATTAGGAGTCAGGAGCCTACTTTGTTGCGACTATATACTCAGAAAATGCATGCCAAGAAGTTAAAAATCTGTCTAGAACTTAATTTCAGCGACAGGTGAGATCTCCTGGAACTGAAATTCTACCTTTCCTTCTTAAGCCTTATCTTCAAATCCCTCCAGGGCATTTTCCCCTCCTTATCTCTCCAATCTCCAAACCCACAGCCCTCTGAGATCTAAGCATTCCTCCAGTTTTCACCTCTTGTACGTCCCTGATTTCAATTACTTCACTAATGCTATGCCTTCCATTGTCTCAGCCCAAAACTATGGCATACGCCCCCGGTTCTGGTCTTGTTTAGCATGTTCCTTCTTGGTCACCTGCCCTAACATCTCCTTACATTCATTGCTGTCTTATTCTATTGCACAGATCTCAGAAAGGCACTGTACCTTTAAGACAGCTAGATAACATCACTCTACATGACTCTCTGTTGGGAATTGATCTCCATCATACTCTATAAACAGTTAGTTAGTCAGTTGATCTGTTAACAGCAGCCAGTCAGCTATATGTAGAATGTAATAGTAACTGTATGGGTAAAGCTGAGATTCATGTTTGTGTTCATAATTAGTTGTTAATAAACTTCAAGAAATCTGTCCCAATAACAAGCTGAATCTTGTGGTATATGCTATGTAGACTAACATATAGAAAATCACATCATACCAGTGTCAAATGTTGTTCTTTAATGCTCCTGTGAAGCATCTTTGGTTGCTGTATTACATTAAAGGTACAGCCGCTATTTAAATTTAACGTCTTACTCTTAGAAACAAGACCCTCTAGCAGCTTGAATGGCTGCTCGTGAATTTTTTAAAATATAAAACTAAATATGTTTGAATCATGTGGGGAAGAGGGAAATCTAGTTAGGGAGGCTAGAAACAGCTGGTCAACTCCTCGTTCCTCCCCACTGGTTCTACTGTCAGCCAGGCATGCAAAGGTGTACAGCCAGGAGCCAGGACAGAGAGGCAGAGAGGTATTGTGATGTGTTCCATCTAGTGAACCATGTGCAGGAGTGTCATGGAGAGATAGCAAGAGGGAAGAGATAGTGGGAGGAAGACGTTACAGGGCCAAGAGTAGTCGGAGGAGTACAAATTATAGAGCAGAGGGTTATTGCTACAGATCAAGTATTAATGGGCAGATAGTGTAGACAAAGGGGTCAGTAATTAAGAAATTAGAATCAAGTAAGATCAGGATGAAATTTCTGGCCCACAATCTGTCAGATTAATACACTCACATTACGAATTGTGATTTCTAGTAATCTTTAAAAGATTATCAGGATTGGTGGGAGTATGGACTTGAGCTTACAATCAGATCAGCCTTCATTCTATTGAATGGCAGAGCAAACTTGAGGGACTGAATGGCCTACTCCTGCTCCTTGTTCATTTGTCTTCATATGTTTTACATGTTGAGTTTTGTGAGGCCACAAATCCTGGTCAAAATGGGTTAAAGGTGACTTTTGTTGGAGTTGAAGCACATCACCTGGATAAAAAATTAACTGATTGCAAGTGGATTGTTTATCCGTACTCCCTCTGTTCATAGACATGTGTTGGGTTGAGAGAGACAGAGAGACGGGGACTAACGGAGGACTAATTTTTACCCAACCCAAACACACATATTTTGGCAGGGGTAGGCATTGGAGATTCAAATTTGCATGAAAAATCCTTTATTTCCACTCTTCTCGATGTTCAAATTTACAATATTCAGCATGAAATTAAGCGATTTGCTCCTTCGGATAGCCAGTACAGACATGACAGGCTGAACGGCCGCCATCTATGCCATTCCGTCAACAAGACTGCAAGCCTCAAACTATGACCCTACTAATTCCTCCTCTACTTGTATTCAGTTCATGGACAGATATTCAACTGTGTAAACAGACACCCAGAAACACACCCCTTCACTGTCCCTCCAGCTGCCCCTGCTTATGCAGATGTCCAGTTCCAGTAGCTGTATGTCAAAGGCTCAGTATGGAGCATGTCACAAATTGAGTCTCCAGCTCTGGTTGAACGTATTCAGAGAGATTGCATCATATGATCACTGGTTTCGAATTATCCCGACACTGCTCACTCAGGTGACTATTTTCCATCCATTTCCACATTCTTTGAATTAGTCGACAAAAGGGGTCACTGAAAAGGAAGAAAAAGAGCATTTTTTTAAATGTCCCTATCATCCCATCTGCAATTGCTTGGAGCAAAGTTCAATTTAATCTTTCACTCCTGAAGATTCCAAGACAGCCCAGTAGGATTAGGTGAACTCTTCAAACATCACTAAGAAGGTGCTGACATGACCAGAGATGTGATCTTATGATGCAGATGATCAGATTAAAGCCCGTTGTGTGCCTCAGGGCCTGACCGATCAATTCAGACAGCAGCGTGATGAGGATTATTGGCCTGGAATACTGAGCCTGGGAACATTCTGAAATATCAGTCCCACAAATGATGATCAGATCCTCATGACTGTCTCCCAAAGTCTCTTGATCCATGCAACAGAAAGGTTGTAACTGCTGCAAAGCATTACCTCATTGAGGTTGGCAGTTCTTCAACAAAATGTTGTTTGAAACTTTCTGAGCTGCCTCAAACTGCATGAGTCTATTTTTGGAGCAGCAATACAACACCCATCCATCACCGAGAGATCTCTGGACTAAATTATCATCAACAGAACAGGTTCATCATATTATACCTTTATACTCAGTTCATATTATTTTGCCATTGAAAATAATTGTGGATATTCTAAGCCCTCTGTCCTGTAAAATCAATTCTGTTTACATCAAAAATGCAGAGACTCTAATTAAGTGGTCACAAACTCAGAAAGTTAGGAGTGTAACAGCGAAGGGTGTGACAGTGAATGTGACAGTGAGGGGTGTGACAGAGTTTTACAGTGAGGGCTGTGGCAGTGTTACAGTGAGAGGTGTGACGTCGAGTGTTACAGTGAGTGGTGTCACAGCGAGTGTTACAGTGAGGGATGTGACAGAGAGGGTTGCAGTGAGGGGTGCGACAGCGAGTGTTACAGTGAGGGGTGTGACAGAGAGGGTTACAGTGAGGGGTGCGACTGCGAGTGTTACAGTGAGGGGTGTGACAGAGAGGGTTACAGTGAGGGGTGCGACTGCGAGTGTTACAGTGAGGGGTGTGATAGTCAGTGTTACAATGAGTGGTGCGACAGGGAGAGTTACAGTGAGGGGAGTGACGGAGAATGAGAGTGAGGGATGTGAGTGTTACAGCGATGGGTGTAACAGTGTTACAGTGAGGGCTGTGACGAAATCTTATAGTGAGGGCTGTGATAGAGTGTTATATTGAGGGACGTGACAGGGAGTGTCACAGTGAAGGGGTGTGACAGTGAGTATTACAGTGAGAGCTGTGACAGCAAGTGTTACAGTGAGATGTGTGACAGGTAGTGTGTTACAGTGAGGGCTGTGACAGTGAGTGTTACAGTGAGGGCTATAACAGGGAGAGTTACAGTGAGGGATATGACAGAGTATTATAGTGAGGAATGTGACAGTGTCACAGTGATGGGTGTGACGGTGAGTGTTAAAGTGAGGGCTGTGACAGTGAGTGTTACAGTCAGGGGTGTGACGGACTGTTGTAGTGAGGGGTGTGACAGTGTTACAGTGAGGGGTGTGACTGAGTGTCACAACGATGGGTTTAACAGCTAGTGTTACAATGGAGAATGTGACAGACAATGTTACAGTGAGAGGTTCGGCAGAGAGTGTTACATTGATGACCATAAGACAATAAGACAGTGGAGCAGAATTAGGCCATTTGGCCCATCGTATTTGCTCCACCATTTGATCATGGCTGACACATTTCTCAAACCCATTCTCCTGCCTTCTCCCATATCCCTCGATTCCCTTACCAATGAAGAATCTAACTCTCTATCTTGAATACACTCGATGACTTGGCCTGCACAGCTGTCTGCAGCAATGAGTTCTACAGAATCAGCACCTCCTCTTTTACAATTTTACAATTACAAGATTCAGGTCTATAAAAGAGTATGTAAGAGAGATCAGTAACAGAGAGTACTGCAATGAAAGGCTGGACTATATCAGGGTGTAACCATGAGGGCATATGTTATAACAGACTGTTACAGTGAGGTAGTTGGATATATCAGATTATTCTAGTGAGGGTACTGCTTTAATGGAAGTCTGACAAAAATGTGAGCTATTTATGCAGCGTTTCAGATTTGTTCAGTCACTTGGTGATGTTGAAATTTATTGTGTTTCAGATGGGCCAAGGGTGGTCAGTTGCTGAGAGGTGTTCTGGGTGAGACGTATGAAACCATTGTGGACTACACCTTCTTCACAGAGCCTGTGTCTTGTGCTGTGTCTAACCCATTGGGAAGTACAAACATCAGCCGAACTGTCGATGTGTATTGTAAGGAATGTTTAACCTGTGCTTGTCATTCCCTAGTCTCCCAACTCCCACCCATTTCGCAGTTTGACTTGTTGATTGATGTGATGTTGCTGGTTAGGCCAACATTTTTGCCTATACTTAATGACCAAGGGGCAGTTAAGAGTCTACCACATTACTGTGTGTCTGGAGTTACATGTAGACCAGACAGTTAAAAATGACAGATTTCTTTCCCTAAACGACCAGCTGGGTTTTTATGACAATCAAAAGTGATTAGATGGTCACAGTACAATAACTATTTTAACTGGATTCAATTAGATTCAGATTTTAATTGAATTCAAATTTCTCTATTTGCCACGGTGAGCTAAAGTCTGGGGTTCTGGATTACTAGTCCAGTGAGATTACCGTTGCACCACTGTCTGCCAAACTGGAAGATAGTTGATGACAGCAGTACACTAGCTCCTTGATATCGAGGCATTATGTCCACACTTTGCACTCATTGTAACATCACACTATTGAGCCATTGCCAGCGGTTGAGGGGTGGAACACAGTAGAAGTGATGGTAAACCATCAAAAGCACAAACTGTGATTTGCACCCACCGCTCGAAGCCATTCTCATCTCCTACCATGGGAAGGCAGGTCCATCTTGAACAGACTCCAAGCAAATTGTTCTAATGCAATTGGGAACTGGAATTAAAGATAGCTGGGTTTTGAAGGAGGTGGGTCCTATCTCCTCTAGTGTTTCAGTCAAATTGTATCTTATTACACTGTTGAGAAGCTATGTTACTGCAGTAAAGTGATATGAACACCATGTTATTGTTGGAATGCTGCTCAAGCTTGGCTGAACATGATTCATTTCCACTCATCCTTCCTCTCCATTTTCCCTGTGCAGTTGGTCCCCGGCTGACATCTGAGCCTCAGTCTCTCTCTGTGGACTTGGGTTCAAGTGCCATCTTTAACTGTGCCTGGACTGGAAATCCATCTCTCACTATCGTGTGGATGAAGCGAGGCTCTGGGGTGGTGAGTATAGGGATTGACAGTAGTCAGTAAATGGGAACATCACAGTGCCTGGGGTGACCTCTGCATCTCGGCTGCTTACAAAGCAAACTTCCCCTCAATCTGGTGAAGCCAGGGGCTCTGTGTGACAGGTCAGATGTGGGAAACTCATTCTTTTCATTCATTCTTTGTGGATTTCCTTATGATTTCCTTTCACCATTTTTTTCTTTTAGTTTGGATATTTTGTGATTGAAATCTTCATTCTTAAGCCCTGATCAAACCTTGATGCCTGGCGTTTGTAGCCTACTTTGTTTTCATTTTGAAAACATCTCTTCCAACTCTATTCACTTCCTCCGAATTACAACGGTTGCAAGGAACAGTCACATGGGCCCTAGTTATGCCCTGCCTCTGTTTAGGATATATTCAAGATTCCGTTCTTAAGCCCTATTCAGCCCCTCATATCTGTTTTATGGCATATTGATGAGTATATCAATGCTATAACCTGCTCTTGCCATGAACTGGAAATATTTGTTAACCTGGTTTTCAATTTCAACACTTCTCTGACCTTCACCCGGTCCATCTCTAATTCGCCCCTTTCCTTCCTTGATTTCTCTTTCTCCATTTCTTGGGATAGACACTCACTGATAGACACAAACTGACTCCCACAGCTACCTTAACTGGACTTCCTTGCAACCTGCTTCCTATAAGGACTCCATCCTATTCACCTGCTTTCTCCATCTCCGTTGCATCTGTTCTGATGATACAGTTTTTCACAGCAGCACTTTCAACATGTCATTTTCATCAGTTGAGGAGTCCCACCCAATATTTCTGACAGGGTTTTCTCATGGGGTCTAATCTATTTCAGGCACTCTGTTCTCACCCTGTTGTGTTCCTCCCAGAAACATGATAGAATTTCCTTTGGCCTTACCTTCCATTCCACCAGCTTCAGCATTCAGTAGCTCATCTTCTGCCATTTCAACTAACTTTAGTTTAATGCTGCCACCAAACACATCTTTCCATCCAGACGTCTGTCAGTATTCCATAGCGACTATTTCCTCTGCAATATCCATATCCATTCCCAGTACCCCCAAAGCCCCTTCATTCTCTACTGCACCATAAGTAAAGGTAGCAGATGTACAAAGCTGTCCAAAGCCCCAAAAACTCTATTTGTATTTCTTTCAAGTTAGTTCTCTGCATTCACAGCTCACAATGTGGCCTCCTTTATACTGGGTACGCCAAATATAGACTGGGTGCTGTGTGTACATATACAATATTGTGATTCCACCTGGTAGTTTATCTGCTATGGGTCTGCAAGCTGCACAACACAGAAATTAGAACATTTTTTTACGATGTCAACTTTATAATCTGCAATATGTTTTACTGTTTTAAATAACCTAATCCAATCAATTAATTACTCCCTGATGAGTGATTAGATGATTAGACCATTATCAGTAATGTGGCTTCTTGAACAGTGGTGGTAAAAGGAATGTTGCACGTATCCCAAACAGAGGCAGGGCATAACTGTGGTCACTGACTGCTCTTTGCAAAACCTGCAATTCAGAGGAAATGAATGGAATTGAAGGAGGTGTTGTTCAAAATGAGAACAGAGTAAGCTACAATGCCGTGCATCCCAGTTGAACCAGGGCTTGAGAATGCTGAGGCCTATCATGATTGAACTGTCAATAAACAGGTTAATCTGCAAGTGAAATACAAGCTCAACAGTCTTAAATTTTGCTAAAGTGCATGAGAAAACATTCAATATCTTTGTTTGATACAGAGTAGGAGGATATTAAAAACATGGCTTGCTGGTGAGCAGACAAATCCCTATCTTAAGGCTAAGTTTACTCACTTTTAAATGCAAGTGATCAGTGTGCGTGTTGGATCAATTCTAATTAAGGGAAGGTCAAAGATATATTGGATCTGCGGAAGGATCACCAGATCCGAAACCTTAATTTGATTTTTCTTCACAGATACTGCTAGACCTGCTGAGCTTTTCCAGCAAGTTCTGTTTTTGCTCCTGATTTACAGCATCCGCAGTTCTTTCAGTTTTTATTTTATCAGATATATGGTCAGAATGTCCGCAATTTTCTTTAGTTTAAACTGGGACACAGCAGGCCTCCTAACAGAAATATAAGTAAGACTACAGGCCATAAGATGTAGGCCATATCATTGAGATCATGGCTGATCTAATAATCCTCAATTCCAGTTTTCTGCCTTTACTCCTTAACTCTTGATTTCCTTACTGATTAAAAATCTATATTAGCCTTGAATATACTTAACAGCAACCTCTACAGCTGTTTGCATAAGGAATTTCACACATTCACTACTCTCTGAGAGAAGAAGTTCCTCCTTGTGCTAGATGATTTTATAAAATAATCTCAGGAGCCTCGAGGTACAAGTCAGTGATCGGTTATTGAGCCAACGTTGTGAGAATCCACCTCAGAAAAGATTCAGAGGTAGCACTCTAACAAGAATTCATCAGATATTTATACATTAGAAGTCACACAGAGAGTACATTCGTCAATTTTGAAATGATCAGTTTTAGACAAACATCTTATTTTTCACATATTCCAAAAGTGGTAAGGTGTCTGTTATCCCTGGTCTCACTACTCAATCTTTTCCAATATACCTGTGTCTTCTCTGAAGCCTATGCTTTGCTCCTATCCTTGACTAAACCCCACTGCTTCATCTCTCTTGGTGTGGTACAGCATCATTCACACATACCATTTCTAAATAAGGTATCAGGGTTAATGCTGAATCAGCCTAAGTGCACTTTCACAGAAATCTCTCTGCTGCATCAACATCTGAGCATGTTTATGCAACTTAAGTAATTTTCTTTTTTTAACCTACTTCCCTGAATAAGAAGAAATAAAAAAGAATATTAAACTATTTCTACGATTATTGCTTATGAAGTTAACTTAAAGTTTTTTTTCCCTCATTCTGATCCCAGCTGTAACTTCATGTGAATTTACAGATTAAAGCATATCATACCCAAATTGCCCCTAATACTCCTAATCTCTGTCCTATTCTGAGATTAAACTATCTGGTCCTAGATTCATACGCAAAGTGAAACAACCTTTCCACAGCTATCCCGTCAAGTCTATTTAGAATCATATATGTTTCAATGAAGTTGCCACAAATTTGTCTAAACTGCATTGCGCACAGGCCCATCCTTCTCAAGCTGTCCTCATAAGAAAATCCTTCCATGCCATGGATGAAAATGATTAAACAGTATTCAGAACTTGGTTTCTGGATTTGGTGCAACCAATGCAGAAAAGCAAGCCCTTCAGATTTGCTTAGCAATTGGGAGTCTAGGTCTCAACAGACATAACACAAGAAGGCTAACAGTTTAAGAGCTAAAAGATTCCCAAAAGATTAGAACACCAATTCAGGGTCAGATTAAACTTCTGTATTTGTGAATTAGAATACATGTTATTGAGACAGAAAGCTACTGAAAACACAGAGCATTTCATGAGCAGGTTCATTATGTGATTTTTCAGATGGGGAGCCAATAGGAATTGTTCACTTGCTGAATACATGCACCCCTCTGGAAGCTTTACAGAAGGGTTTTCCAGAAAAACCAAAGACTTACAGCACTGAAGAGTTACTAAAGGGCAGACATAAGTTTGAAGCAATCATCTCAGCTCGTCAAAGCTTACAAGTCCTAAGTACAAACCCAACAGTGGACACTATCAATAGAATACTAAAACATTGCTAGACATGTGGAATGTTTTGCCTTCTGCATGCAAAAAAAAATGCCCAGCTTTCAATCAATTTGCAATGGAGCAGAAAAGACTATTGGCTCTGGAGCAAAGGCAACAAAACCATAAAGGGCCATGCACTGACCCATGCAGACCATCCACAAAAGAGTATTTTCAATGCTGAAATAGAGGCCATTTAGTATCCCACCAGATGTATAATCATGAAATGAACAACAAAGCAGGATCTATGAATTTTAAAATAAAATCACCTCACAAACAAGGGAAGCCATGATGAAATCTTCAAATGTAAAACGTTCAGAATACGACAGTTCACCAATTCCACGAGCTGGACCAAAATGGCTGAAATGCAAATACAATCAATCTGCCTGGGATGTTGCACATGTTCTACACCATTAAAATTGCTGGACCAGAAATCACAGGTTTGTGAGCATGCTGTGACCTTGCGTTAGTCACAATTTGTGGAATCATTCAAACATCAGAGGCATATCAAAAACTGCAGTTGACTATTCAAAAAACATTTGCAGAACTGAATATGTGTGGAACACTTTCTTCTGTAGTAGTGGAGGGAAAAGCTCAGTTCTTTTCTGTGGATAATAAAATGAAAGATCAAGAGGAAAAAGCTGAAGGAGTACAGCAAGGTCTGGAGCAACTTGCATGTAAAATAGATCAGGCTCAGCATAAGCAGCTACAGAAATACTGGCTTGAGCTCAAAGTAATGCCAGAAAATAATAACAGACCTGCAAAAACACGCTGAGATGCATGGTGCACACAATAAGGAGCTGCAAATCACTCATGGAACAGTCCTTTCAGCAATAAATGGCAGCAATAAAAATATTCCATTAAAATAACTCAAGCAGGACCTGGAGAAAACCAAACAACTGGAGTAGCAAGTGGAAGAAGTCTACACTTCATTAAAAACAAAAAAGAGAGAAAAAAACATTGAAAATGCTGAACAGTTGTTAGAGCAGGATGTGAAGGAGAGAATATACTAGATCAACAAAGACCAAAAGATTGATCGAGTTAAAAGAATCCATGCTATAAAATGAGAAGCGTCAAAGCTGGTAGCTCTAAAGGCGCTAAACAGATGAAGAAGATTTGAATCACTCAAAATAGTTTTTAGGATTGAGATCAGTCAGTTGCTAATCTAGAGCAAAATGTGGCTGTGGTGCATCGGCATAAACAAATTTTGGAGCAGCAACTGCAGTCCAAGACAGAAAAATTTGACAACACAAAGAGAAATGACTGATAATCTCACTAATGACTGTGGAAATCAACAACACATCCAGACAGAGTCAGCATCATGAGAATCTGGTTGAATCAGCAAGTTACCTGACACACAGACTCACTTGCTATTGTAAATAGTTAAGCTTCTTTTTGGATTGATGGAAGATATTATAAGAGCTTTAACCCTTCAGAACTTCATATGCTGTGGGTACACAACGTTAAAATTCTGTCTGGCAATTGGTCTGCTGTGGGTATGCAAGTTGGTTTTTTGCTAAAATAAAACAAAGTATTACAAATGCAGGAAATCTAAGACTAAAACAGAAATTGCTAGCGAAGATCAGCAGGTCTGGCAGCTATCTCTTGCTGTGTCATAGCCATCCTGCCACCCCGTTCCACTTCATTCTCCAGCTTGTTCAATGTTATAACAAAGAACTTTTCCTTTTCCTTTCAGACATTAAGGAATGCAAGCTGCAACAACTGCGAGATAACCTGCACCCTTCTGGAACCTTTCTGCCCTCACTTCCTTCTGCTTCCATCCTTTCTCCTGATCCCACCTCTTGTCGAGTATTTACCAACCCTCCTTACACTCTGCTCTCTGATGCTGAACATTCTGTACTCAGAAAAGGTCTTAAATTTTATTTCTCTGCACCCCCACCTCATTAAATTTCACGCCAGACATGATGATGAACACTTCTTCCGCCATTTCCATGCCCATTTCTTTGGATAGGAGTCCTCTCCCTATCCCACATTAGCCTTCACCAGCCTCTAACACTATTTGTCTAGCTGGAACCCACGGTCTAACCTTTTACTTGCAATCGACTTGTTTATTGAGAACTGTCAACATGACATTGGTCAGCTTAATTTCTCTGCCAAATCACCTCACCTGTTTGAACCATTTCCCTCCAAATTGACTGCACCACGTGCACTCAGATTAAATCCTGACTTTGCAATTGAAATCACTCCATGGAGGCTGGTATCCCGTCATCAAGTCACCCTTTATTTACACATGCTGAATATATGGATTCTGACTAGTTAGCTCAGAGTCAATCCCAAGAGTAAGCAGAACCCCTGAAGCTCCTGCTTATATCTGTCAGCGAGGGCTCCCTGATTGGCCCAGGTTAACAACCCCAATCAGGTATCTCATACTCAATGAGATCCATCTGGCCCTCGTTCCATCACTATAGTAATCAAGCCTGCCAACCAGGATGGTGCTGTTGTTGACTGACATACTGACCTCTACATTGCAGAAGTTGAGCACCAGCTCTTGAACAAGCTCCTCCTATTCCCCCTGGACCAGAGCATCACCATAGAGCATCAGGCCATCAGTCCATGACTGCTACCAACTTCCTATCATCTGGGGATCACCCTGTGATTGCCTCACACAGAACACTTTCTCAAGTACATTTATGACGTCATCAGTGCTGCTCCGTCTCTCGTTCTGAACTGGAAAAATTTATCAACTTTTAAAAAAATAGAGTTCTGTTGATGACTTGAAACAATAACTTCACTTTCTTCCCACAGATGCTGCTGGACCTGTTGAGTTTCGCCAGTAATTTGTTTCTGTTTTGCTGCAATGTCTGCTTCATAACTTCAAATGTCATACAGTCATACAGCACAGACACAGACCCTTCAGTCCAACTTGTCTATGCCAACCAGACATCACAATCTGACCTAGTTCCATTTGCAAGCATTTGGCTCATAGCCCACTAAACCCTTCCTATTCACATACCCATCTAGATACCTTTTAAATGTTGCAATTGTCCCCAGGACTTTTCCTGGCAGCTAGTTCCATATATATGCACCACCCTCTCAGTGACAAAGTTGCCTCTCAGGCCCCTTTTAAATCTTTCTCCTTTCACCTTAAAAATATGCCCCCTCATTTTGATCCTCCCCCCACCCCCACCCTCGGGAAAAGACCTTTGCCATTCACCTTATCTATGCCCTTCATGATTTTATAAACCTCTATAAGGTCGCTGCTCAGCCTTCTATGCTCCAGTGCAAAAAGTCCCAGCTTATCCATCCTCTCCTTGTAACTCAAACCTCCAGTTACTGTTTAAATAAATTAATCCTTGGAGTTAATCAATCCCTGACAAGTGATTGAACATTAAATTAAAAACCAAAAGAACTGCGGATGCTGTAAATCAGGAACAAAAACAAAGTTGCTGGAAAAGCTCAGCAGGTCTGGCAGCATCTGTGAAGGAGAAAACAGAGCTAACGTTTCAGGTCCGGTGACCCTTCCTCAGAACTTGATCATTAAACCGTTATCATAAACATGACAGTCATGACTTGTCAGTTTTTTGTGTCTCTCAGGCATTTCTAGTTTTAACTTTAACACAGGGGTCTCTGCTTCTTCCTGGAGCAAAGACCTGAACCGTCCACATCCACCATCACCCTCCTCCGCTTGGCTGAGTTCCTCCTCACCCTCAAAAACTTCTCTTCTAACTCCTCTCATTTTCTTCAGGTCAGACGGGTGGCCATGAGTACCCGCATGGGCCCCAATTATGCCTGTCTCTTTGCGGGGTACGTGGAACATTCCTTGTTCCAGTCCTATTCCAGCCCCCACCCACAACTCCTTCTCTGATATATTGATGATATCGGTGCTGCTTCCCTCTCTTGTTCTACCTCTCCCATCCGGAATTGGAAAGGGTCATCGATTTCGCTTCCCACTTCCACCCTGCCGTCACTTTCACCTGGTCTAGCTCTGACTCCTCCCTTCCCTTCCTTGACATCTCTGTTTCCATTTCTGGTGATAGACTGGCCACTCATATCCACTATAAACCCTTTGCTCCCACAGCTACCTGGACTATACATCCTCACACCTTGCTTCCTGTAAAGACTCCATCCCGTTCTCTCACTTCCTCCGTCGCATGTTCAGATGAGACCAACTTCCACAAGGGAGCCTTTGTAATGTCCACCTTCTTCCTCAACCGAGGATCCCCCAGCACCCATTGTCGACAGGGCCCTCAGCAGGGTCCGACCCATCTCCCACACTTCCGCCCTCACCCCTTGTCTTCCCTCCCGCAACAGTGATAGGGTTCCCCTTGTCCTTACCTACCATCCCACAAGCATCCACAACCAGAAGATCGTCAGACACCATTTCCACCACCTCTAGCGAGATGCCACCAGCAGACACATAGAATCCCTACAGTGTGGAAACAGGCCATTCAGCCCAACAAGTCCACACCGACCCTCCGAAGAACATCCATGCTGACTCATTCCCCTACCCCTGCATTTCTCATGTCTAACCCACCTAACCTAAACATCCCTGGACATTATGGGCAATTTAGCATGGCCAATCCACCTAACCTGCACATCTTTGGACTGTGGGAGGAAACCCCTGCAGACACAGGGAGAATGTGCAAACTCCACACAGACAGCCGCCCGAAGGTGGAATCGAACCCGGCGCTGTGAGGCAGCAGTACTAACCACTGAGCCACCGTGCCGCCCAAACATATTCCCCTCCCCTCCCTTGTTCGCCTTCTGCAGGGACTGTTCCCTCCGGGACACCCTGGTCCACTCTTCATTCACCTCCAACACGCCCCACAGCCCCACGGCACCTTCCCCTGCAACCGGAGAAGGTGCAACATCTGCCCATTTACCTCCTCCCTCCCCACTATCCAAGGGCCAAAACGTATCTTCTTGGTGAAGAAACACTTCACCTGCACTTCCCAGAATCTAGTCTACTGCATTCGCTACTCACAATGTGGTCTCCTCTACATTGGGGAAACAAAGCGTAGACTAGGTGACCGTTTCGCACAACACCTACGTTCTGCTCGCAAAAAAGATTCTGAGCTACCCAATGCCTGCCACTTTAACAAACCACCCTCTTCCCTGGCCCACATCTCTGTCTCTGGCTTGCTGCAGTGTTCCAGCAAAGCTCAGCGCAAGCTGGAAGAACAACACCTCATTTTCCGCTTGGGGACCCTGCAGCCCTCCGGACTCAATATCGAGTTCAATAATTTTAGGGCCTAAACTCTCCCGTGTCCTGGCCCCCTACCCCACAAACCAGGCCTTGTTGTCACATAACTTGCCATTACACACTACTTATTGTTAGTCACAAACAGTCCCCATTAACAACTATTCACCCTCCTAGCCTGACCGTTATCAACTCCTTTGTCTATCCAACTGCTCTTCTTTCTCTTCGGGCTCCATCCTATCGTTTACTCCCTACCCTACCCCCCTCTCTATTTTCTGCATATAAACTGACATTTTCCCAGCTACCATCAGTTCTGAGGAAGGGTCACCGGACCCGAAATGTTAACTCTGATTTTATCTTCACAGATGCTGCCAAACTTGAGCTTTTCCGGCAACTTCTGTTTTTGCTCTCAGTTTCACCTCATCCATCAGGTGATGCCCCACACAGGACAATGGAAAGTTATTGCTGGTGCTTCCATTGTGCTATAGTATAACAATTACGTCACGTAGAAATATCATTAGCAGCTTTTAGGAGCTTGGAACAGACAAGATCTTAAGTTTTGGCTGTGCAACCTTTAATAACTATGAGCTATGTACAAAAGCCTGGTGGAGCAGAGCTTCATCTGTGCCTTCTTGCATCAGGTCTCAACCCCATGTGATCAATTCTTTATGCACATGCTCAGCAGCTATTGTTAGAGTACAGGTACATTTAACCCTTTACTCTACATTCTCCCAAGTCTGTATTGCCACCGATCATTTTCACAAGTTATATATCCTCATACACATTGCAATGTTCATGCTTTTGAACTCTGACCTCTCCCCTCTGCTTCCTTTAGGTTCTCAGCAATGATAACGTCATGACTCTAAAGGCTGTGGCCCAGGAGGATGCTGGGAAGTACGTGTGCAGGGCTGTTGTTCCACGAGTTGGTGCTGGGGAGAGGGAAGTCAGCCTGACAGTCAATGGTAAAATAATTTTGTACTCCTGATTTACAAATCCATAACGTACTGAATTTCCATACAATATTATACAATACACACATGCATATACTTCATTCTCACACAAAAAAATCTTACATATGCAGACTCACATATATTTGTGTACAAACAGGCTCTCACAACAATGCATAGGTATGAAGATATGCATAGGTGCGTTTGTATACAAATGTACAAATGTACACAAACACATAGACTCAAACACACACATGAACATCTAAGCACAACACATGCACATACACATACACTTAAAATACACACATAGATGCTCATATGCAGACACAGATGCCTACTTCATTGTAGTCACGCTACACATACATGGGAACATATGTGCTTGGTCACCCATATGGCACTCATAGACAAGTTCAGTGAAACTCTTGAAAAGGTTTACAGATGCACATGCACCTATTTACCAATACATACAGGCATATACATGCACATCCCTGTGAATGAAACTACATTCTTTATATAAGCTTTTATCAGAAGAATAGAACACTGTTGTTCAACAGAAACACATTGTTGAATTGGAGTCTTTGGCTCTATGGAGTTACAAGCAATTCTGTCGTTGGTTTCAGCATATTGCGAATAGATCCTTGCTGATACTTCCAAAGAATGCTCATCATCCTGCTTTCATTTGCAGAATCACTAGTCTAAGGCTCAAACGTTTGTGGGAAAATGTTATTCTATCAATGTCCTCTGAATGAAAGCTCTCCCCGAAGAAGGAAAAAGTAAATAAAGTTGCACCGTTCAAATTCAGTCTAGAAAACTAAACATTGCTTTCAGATTAAATCTGTAGGAAAATAATAACATTCCTAGTAAATATAATCAAACATGACCATAAACCCTGACAATTCATGTAGTCACAGATATTTACATCAAACTTTGTCTACACTCTTGGTAGCCCTATTTGATATTTCAAAAAAGTCTCACAATTTTTGCTCACTGAAGTTAACAAAACAAAAAGAAAAATGCTTGTTACCTGTGAGAAAAAAAATTGTTGCAGGTTTGTTTGTTCCACATTGTGTGCAATTACCTTTTAGAATATTCATTAAAATGTAAATTTATTTTAATTAGACTGCTAATAATGAGCAATTATATTCAGTTTAATTATGTGCAGCGTGCGCCCTGATGTTGCTTGATCCTATGGAGAAGGTGTAATACAAGAAGGGCTGTGATGGATGAACTGTCTAATTTAATAAAGTTGTTTGATGAATTGTATTTGTGAGCGTATGTAGTTCTGTACATATATTTATAGCATGTGTGTATGTATGCGTGTATGTATATGTAAGTGTTTCTATATATGTGTATACATAATGTGCATATGTGTGTACATATTCATGTATGTTTGTGTTTAGATATGTGCATGCATGTGTACAGGCATGTGTGATATGTAAATATGTATGTGTTACTATGTGTAATTTGTTTGTATTTTGGGTTTCAGGACCCCCCATCATCTCCAGCACACAGATGCAGCATGCTCTGCAGGGCAAGAAAGGACAGATCAAATGTTTCATCCGGAGTACACCTCCACCTGACAGAATAGTGAGTCACTCAGCGAAATAGATACTTCCTCAAGTGGACAAAATGGATATATTATTGTCTCCAAAACATCACCCTGCTATATCGGTTAAAGTAAACCTTTCTAATGTCTCAATGATTCTGTCAAGCAAAGAATTTAACCCAATGGATAAGGAAGATGAATGCATTTTGGTCTTGTGATGCAGATGGTAGTGTTCCTGCCTCTGAACTGAAAGCTCTGTGAGTGCCACTCCAGGACTTAATTCCTAAGGGAAGTGCAGTCAAACAGGTTGAGTGTCAACTTGTAACTCCTACCAGTAAGTGAATGCTAGGCAGTTAAGAGTGGGAGAGATTCCTGGTTGTCCATGTGAAGGAGCCTCCACCACCACAATCTGTAGCTCGAGGCTACAACATGCACCTGCAAGTCCATCGTACCACAGCAATTTGGATTCCCTGAGTGAACTGTAACCACTGCAACTACCATTATTGTAGGAAATTTGTAATTAAGTTACACACAGGAAGATTCTACAAATAATACAGAAGTGCTCACTTAAAATTCCCAAAAATCACACCTTTAAATGAAATGATTTTAAAATGAATCATTCCTATATCATTCTCATCAAAACCAGAGTTAGGATCTTTCAGACACTTCTTACCCAGAAGAAAACAAAGTACAAGTTGAAATACTTCACTGCACATGTGTGGTTCTGTGCATTCTGGATGAAATAATTTACAAACTAAAATAGATAACAGAATACAAAAATTATACTTTGGTTTTAGGTATTTTAGTATGTTTCTCAGCAGAGTAAAATATTCAAACAATATCAGTCAAAATGCTGCACATTCCAAGATATTTACAAATGAAATAACATTCAAAACAAAATAAATTTAGAAATATATAAAAAAATTATAAATGAGAACTTTAAATGTAAAAACTAAATGCACCAGCCATCTGATTTTGCATTGACCAAGCTCCATCTAGTGTCAGACTTTGATCAATGCAGGGGGCAGTTCAAGATGCCCAGGGACCTCAGTGAAAGCTAAGAGCATGAAAGGAGCCAGGCAAAGAGGAACCAACAGGTCAAGACCCCACCAGTGCCAACAGGCACTGAGGTGTTTGTAGGTGAGAATGGAGGGTGGGAGCAGGACATCAAGAGTTAAGGCTAGTACAGAATCAAGCTAGTACAGTGCCACCATGGAGCATGTGGAAAGTGCAAGCTACCGAACAAGAAAGGATGTTATAGCAAACTTTACAACTTTAAATGACTATATGATGTGTATTTAGTGAACAACGCAAAACAGAAATGATATTGACTGAGACAATATTAAGTGAGAACTCCTGAGGTGCTACCACCTCACTCAATTTTCAACTCGAAGCTCCCAGTGTCTATTGCCACCACATTTTATCAGCTGCATTTAAAGCTTTTGTATTTTTTATATCACTAATTTCTAGATGTCTTGGAATGTGCAGCATTTCAACTTATAATGTTGCATAAGACCATATTTCAAATGAGCATAAGTAGGTCATTCAGACCATTCAGTCCATACCGCTATTCAATGAGATCATGGCTGATCTGATAAATCCTCAACTTCACTTTCCTGCCTTTTCCCCATAAGCCTGGTACCTCTTACTGATTAAAAACTTATCTCTTCCTTCATACCCCTCTGCAATAAAGAATTCCACAGGTTCAATACACTGAGAGAACTTCCTTATCATCGCTATCCTAACTAGGAAATCTCTTACTCCGAGGTTATACCGTCTGGTCCTAGACTCTCCCACTAGGGGAAACAAACTCTCCGCATCTACTGTGCAAAGCCCTCTAAAAATCTTATATGTTTTAATAAGGTCATCTCTCAATCTCTGAAGTTCAATTACTCGATCTCTCCTCAAAAGACAGTCCCTCCATACTATGATCAACCTTGTGAACCTCTGAACTGACACCAATAACAGTATATCTCTCCTTAGATAAAGGGACCAAAACTGTTCACATAATTTTAGTCGTGGTCTGATTAATGCCTTGTATAGTTTTAGCAAGACCTCCCTATTTTTATATTCCACCCCCTTTGAAATAAACACCCCCAACATTCCATTTGCCTTCCCTAGTACCTGCTGAACTTGGATGCTAGTTTTTTTGCGATTTATACGCCAGGATTCTCAAATCGCTCTGTATTGCAGCTTTCTGCTGTCTTTCTCCATTTAAATAACACTCAGCTCCTCTATTCTTCCTGCCAAAGTTCACAATTTCACATTTCCTCATAATGTATTTCATCTTCAAGTCTTTGTCCACTCATTTAATCAGTCTGCAGATTGCTCATATCATCCTCACTACACACATTCCCACCTATTTTCGTGTCATCTGCAAACCTGGCAGTAGTGCATTCACTTCACTCATCTAATTCATTAATACATATTGTAACCAGTTAAGACCCTAGCACTGATCCCTAATTACATGCTGTCATCCTGAAAATGCCTGCATTATTCCAACTCTGTGTGTCTTCTATTAGTTAGTCGATCCTCTATCCATGCTAATATTTCTACCTCCAACACTACAGGCTCTTATACTATATACCCCAGACCATCACTGACTCTGAAGATTAGGATTATTGAAGCTGATCAACAGTAAGTTAAAGGCAAATTTCCTGAGTCAGATAGTAATTAGGAAGAAAGCTACCAAATGGATTCATACAGTACCGAAGGAGGCCTTTTGCCCCTTTATTTCTGACCCCTTAAAAGTGTTTCCCAATAAATTACACAACCTGACCCTTCCTTCTGAAAGTTACTGTTGCACCTGCTTGCATAGCTCTTCAGGACCTTCAGATCCTAACGGCTCAGTTGCCCAGTTTTTTTTCACATTATCAGCCGGGTCAGGGCAGAATAATGGCAGGAAATGAGCAAACGAGTAAAGCTGGTCCCCAGGGGAAACCAGTGTCTTCAACAGCACAACCGAGGGGAAAGCTGAACCAGCAGCATGTTGGATAGCAGAAAGTGAAGGGGATTTTCAAGAAGGGGGAACAGGAGTTTTCTAAAGCCTTACAACCCTTTAGAGTCTCTGCACTCCCCTAAATCTGATTCTTCAAACCCTAATTTTAATCTTTCTACTGGCAGTTTCAGTGTCTTCAATTCCCTCTGCTGTAATCTCCAGAATTCTCCCCATAAGCTTCTCTACCTCCCTGTCCTACTTGAAGATGTTCCTTAAAATCTGGCTTGTTGGTAAGCTTTTGGTCATTTTATCTGCTTGTGTGATGCAATGTCAAATTTTCCTTAATAATTCACTCCAGTGGAACAATCCTATGTTAAACATATAAATGAATATTGGACAATTCTTCTTGTATCCCTTCCCCTCCCTGTAACACAAGTCACCACTGGCATTGCAGCAGTGCAGAGAAAATTCAATAATGGTTGCAAGGCAAAAAAAGAAAGGGGATATAGTTTCCAGATGCACAGCCCAATTCAGCACCATCGGTGAGAAACATCTGGTGCAGCCTATACAATGGTGATTAGATATGTAGAACATGTGAAAGCTGTACAGATGCTCGATTTCTCATTAGCTCCTCAGCTAATGGCTTTTTTATTGCAGCAAGAAGCCTTTATGGATCAGCAGAAATAAAACTGAAACATTTCAGAAATGGGAATGAATGGTTCCCAGTCTCTCAAATGTCAGTTGTGGGTTTCATGTTCATCGCACTGCTTTCAGCTTTGTACTGATTAGTTTAAGCAGGTGAGGAAATATGTGGGGGATCCCTGCTCTCAAACTGTACACAATACCCAGGGGTTGTGTATGATTATTAACTGCACGTTAAGTTGTCGCTCTAAATGAATTATTGAGAAGTGCAGCAGATGGGGACATGCTGAGGAAAGTGAACAATAAGAGGTTTCTCTCTATAGACAACAAGGTGCAGAGCTGGATGAACACAGCAGACCAAGCAGCATCATAGGAGCAGAAAGGCTGACATTTCGGGCCTAGACCCTTCATCAGAAATGCCTTCATCAGAAATCAGAGAGAGGTTTCAGTGATTGCTGGACAATCCTCTTTGATGATGATGGACTGTCTATTGGGATGGATTCCAGCTGCAGTTTCCAGTCCCTGGGTTTGTTCAGCACATGGAAGTGATCAGTGGGAGATAGCTCAGATTAATGGCTGAGGCCCCCTTTTTGATTCAGCCCTGTCTGCTCACACTGGGCTCTGGTTTTATACTGGATTTGGGTTCACTCTCAGTTTATACTAAACTCGATACTCTAGGTTTACTCTGGATCCAATGCCTTGGATTCACTCTGGGATAATTCTCAGCTCGACACTTTAGGTTCATTCTGGGCCTGATGTTATGGATGCACTCTAGATTCACTTTGGATTTGATGCTCCGGGTTCACACTGGATGCAATCGTCCGGATTTCTTCTGGGTTTTGTAAATTGCCACGATTATGTTTAATTTTGAACCCTTTCTCACTGCAAGTTGCACAGTGAATCTCAAGCCACAGTCTGGATGAAAGCAGAGATGCTGCCCACCCTTATCCAGATACTTGCTCTCAACACAGAGGTCTGGGCTAGAAATATCAGTAAATCACCCAGAATCACTCCCAGAATTTTTGGGCTTTAATCAGTTAGCCCACAAACAATCTTTATACCTTATTTCCTCTTCCCTGTCAATGTTCCCAGCTTCTCTGGGGCAGGGTAACAGTTCCACAGACGCTGGACACTTCACCTCTTTTATCATTCCTTACGGTCAGACCTAGATGATGATGGAGAGAATCTTCACTTCACTAACCGCACTGCTTTACCAAAACAACTTGTAGCAATAAAGCATCTTTAATATAGTAGGACATCACAAGGAACATCATGTATTCAAATGAGAAAAAAATGTCTCCAATAAAGGTCTAGTAGGACGGGAAGCAGAGGATTTCAAGCAGTGTCTTAAAAGTGGAGAGAAGAGGTGGAGAACTTTAATTCATAACTCATAACAGTGGAAGATGTTGGTGAGGCCTCTTCTGGAGTAATGTGTCCAGTGCAGGTTGCCGTGTTGCAGGAAGGATACTATTAAGCTGGAGAGGGTTCAGAAGAGATTTACTCAGATTGTTGCTGGGATTGGAGGGTTTGAGTTATAAAGAGAGGCTGGACAGGCTGAGACATTTTTCACTGGAACGTAGAAGGTTGAGGGTGACCTTATAGGGGGGCATAGATAAGGTGAATGACAGGTGTCTTTTCCCTAGGGTGGGGGATTTCAAGATTAGCAGAAATATTTTTAAGACATGACGGGCAATTTTTTTTACACGGAGAGTGGTTCGTGTGTGGAATGAACCTCCAGAGGAAGTGGTGAATGTGGGTACTGTTACATTTAAAAGACATTTAGATAAGTACACATATAAGAAATATTTGGAGGGATAAGGGCCAAATGCAGGCAGGTGGGACTAGTTTAGTTTTGTATTATGGTCAGTATGGACTGATTGGACCGAAAGGTCTGTTTCCATTCTGTATGAATCTACGAGTCTATAAGAAATAGGAGCAGGAATAGGCCATTTGGCCCCTTGAACCTGCTCCATATTCTGCATAGCCTTTGAAGATCAAAAACATCTATCTAACTTAGCTATGGATATATTAAAATAATCATCCCCCACACTACTCTCAGGAGAAGGGAATTCTGAATATTCATGAGCTTCTAAGTGAAGAAACTCCTCCTCCTCTTAGTTTGTAATGGGAGACACTTCATTCTGAAACTTTGCCCTGTTGTTTTACACTGCCCCACAAGAAAAATCATTTTTTTCAGCATCTACCCTATTATGATCCCTCACAACCTTATATACCAAGATAAGATCAGGCCCGCCCCACTCAAATTTCCTCATGAAACTATTTCTTTAGTCCAGGAATCAGCCACATGAACCTTCCCTGAATTATCTCCAATGCGAGTATATCCTCTCTTAATAAGAAGACAAGAACTATAATGAGTACAATTGTAAGAAAATTTCCCAAATTTTATACTCCATTCCCCTTACAATAAAGGCCAACTTTCCATTTGCCTTTCTGATTACAATATTTGCTGTACCTGTGAGCTAACCTTGTGTGATTCAGACACAGGAGCACCTAGATCACCCTGCTGCACCATTTTGTTTTCTCTCACAAGTTAGTAACAATATACTTTCATATTCTGCTCAAAATGGACAACCTCATAATTTCACACATTGTACTCCATCTGCCAAATGTTTTCCCATCCACTTAACTGTACCCTTTTGCAGACTGTCTATATCCTCCTCACAATACTCTTAAATTTTCCAGCTTTTTTTTTCATTCACGGGATGGGGGTCGCTGACTAGGCAGCATTTATTGCCCATCCCTAATTGCCCAGAGGGCAGTTAAGAATCAACCACATTGCTGTGGGACTGGAGTCACATGTAGGTCAGACCAGGTAAAGATGGCAGTTTCCTTCCCTAAAGGACATTAGTGAATCAGATGGGTTTTTCTGACAATTGGCAATGGATTCACAGACATCATTAGATTCTTAATTCCAGATATTTACTGAATTCAAATTCCACCATCTACCATGGTGGGATTCGAACCCGGGTCCCCAGAAACTTGTCTGGGTCTCTGGATTAACAGTCCAGTGCTGACAGTATCCTGATTGTTGGAGAATCAACATAAGTTGGGAGGTGAGTTTCAGGACTCCGCAGAAATCTTGACAACCCTGGCAAGTTTGAACATTCAATGGTTAATTTTCACAGCCTAAGACCCTCTGTGAATGACTTCATCCCTGAGCTCAGCATCAGAGACTTTAGATTGGTCATACCTACATCCTTATCGAGAAAATGTTACACTGGTTAATCTTTGTTCTCCTTCACAGATCAATGAAACTGAACTGAATACAATTCCCCTAGTCACCCCCAACCTGTTCCAACCGCCTGTCTTCTCCCCTATCACCCAACTAGCATTCATCCACCTCACCCATTCATTCACTACCAACCCAATAGTTAGTAAAAGATTTGAAACTTTAAAACTGATCAGGACAGGGTAGCTACTGATGTGAAAGTGGGCTTGTCCCTTTTGTACTCATGATATTTGCTGTCTGATGCCTGCATTGACCCCTTCAATACTTCTACTAGAATCAGCAGTCCTAGCTGAAAAATTACAGAAGGGTTGGTCCATGGAAATCTTCACAACCAGCACCAATAAGTTCAACATCAATGCTGAGTGGAAGATCTGGGCTTTTGTATCTTTGTGGCAACTTCCTTGCCTATTAATTTTGTACCATCAGCAAGTTTGGCAACAATATTTTTTGTCCATTCATCCAAGTCATCAATACAGATTGGACACTAAGGCCCAAGCACTGATCCCTGCAGCACCCATTAGTTTGCCAATTTGAAAATATCCTGTTAGTTATCTAATCCATTAACATTGCTGACGTATCGACCCCAACATTTTTATTTTTGTCTTGTCTTAATCATGTGGCAACCTTTCAAATTCCTTTTGAAAATCCAAATGCATAACATCTGCTGCTTCGATCTATGTCCACCCTGCTCGATACATCCTCAAAAGAATATTAGTAAATTTAACAAAAATGACTTGCCTTTCATAATCCCAGAGTTTAGGGCTTACCTAACTGAAGTCATAAGAATAGATCATTTAAAATCCCAGGGAGCAGAACGGCTGCTGGAACTTCATATCAACATATTGTATTGGCCCTTCCTTTTGATTTTCAGAAAACCATCAATAGGTTATTAACCAAGAGTCTTATACATTACAGCTGTTGCCCAAATCTGTGCCTTCCATCAGGGGTCATTCTCATCAATCAAGCAGGAACCAGGCATCGTGTATTTTGTAGATGAGGAGAAACTGTTCCTGCGCTGTAAATGGATTGAAAATCAGAGGGCACAGTTTCAAAGCATTTTGTAAAAGAAGCAAATATGATGTGAGCATGATCATCAAACAGTAAGGGTTTTAACGCACTGCCTGGGAATGTGGTGGAGGCAGCTTTCATTGAAGTGTACAGGAAGGCATTATACATACTATTAAATCAACCTGCACAGACACCTCCAGAGCAGGTGGGACTTCAACCTGAGCCTCCTGGCTCAAAGATGGGGACACTACCATTGCATCACAAGAACTCTTAAGAAGGTATTATAGGATTATTTAAATTGAAACAATGTGCAGGTTTTACAGGGAAAAGGCAGGAGATTGGCACTGAACCAAATTGGTCAGAGAGGCGGAGCAGACATGATGGGCCAAATGGCCTTCTTCTACACTGTAGCAATTCTGCGATTCATTCAAATGTCTTTCCGGAGTGGGGAAAAGATCTCAGATGGATTAGTCTTTGAAGATTTTTTTTTTCACCTGCGTCCTCAAACAGCATTGGAATCAATCTCCCATTACAAATTTTCAATGTTCTCCAAACAGAATCCCGAAAAGAATTGAGGCCCAATGCTGCATAATTATACAAACAATGATCATGCAATTTATTACAGCTTTCACAAGCTCAGGACATCCCAAAGTGCTTCACAACTAATTAAGCACTCTTACTTCACTTTTAGGGCACTCTGGAATGTTCTGGCAGGCCTGATGATCTTCGAAAGCAGATGATAATCTAATCTCTCCTTTTCTTCTATTGGATACACCCAGGCTTGGTCATGGAAGGAGAACATTCTAGAATCAGGGACCTCAGGACGTTATACAGTGGAGACAGTGAGCATGGAGGAGGGCGTGATCTCCACACTAACTATCAGTAATATTGTGAGGGCAGACTTCCAAACAATTTACAACTGCACGGCCTGGAACAGCTTTGGTTCTGATACAGAAATTATTCGCTTGAAAGAACAAGGTAGGGCCTGCAAGAGAACAATGAGCTTATACACCTCAGTATTTGAATTCACCTGTCTCGGTTACTTCAAAGTTTTGTACTCCTTTTCGCCCTTAAAACCACTTCCCTTTTATAATAACCTACCCATATTTGGGAACATTAGAGTTGGAGGAGGCAGGAAGTGTCAAGCCCAGGGAGCTGTCAGGGGTCTGAGGACTTTTTGAGTGGGGACAATTGTGAGTTAGGGTCAGTTTAATAGTTGGAGTATGTTTCTTATCCTTCAACCTTTCCTGTGTAGCTACTTAGCTTAAGTGAGTCAGAACCCTTTAAAATGTTTTTTTTTTTAATTTAACCTACTTTTCTAACCAACCTGTTCAGAGATGTTATTACATACCTCAGGAGCATGTGGGTCTTGAATTCGGGCCTCCTGGTAGGGACTGCAACTGCGCCACAAGAGGGTGAAGAAAATCTCTGTCTTTAAAGGAGTTTTTCAAAGGGTTCCAGGTGCCAGTGAATTGCACATCAGAATTTTCAATTTCCCAGGCAATTTCCTGAGTCAGCTACACTCTACTCTGCACTGTTGCAGTGGCTCACTGATCATTGAAAAATCTGGTCTTCATTTCTGAATCTAATTTGACTCTAATTCATCCTACCTCTGTCTTTATCTGCTTTCTTTCCTTAAATTTATTAAGGAGACAGAGCATTGGATTCAACATTCACGAAGTCCCAGGTGCCAGTTCCCCTCACTGTGTGTTGGTCTATCACATTTCCAGCATGTAATAGGACAAAAATAATACAACCTGAGATTGGAATAATCCAATAGATGAAATGCCTTCTCTGCAATTTTCCAGGCTGTTGTCTCACTCCATCATGGTTGAAACCCTTGTCTGTGCCTTCTTTGCCTGGATGGGTAATTTCTTGAATACTTGATTCTCCAGCAGTCTTCCTTCCACCCAGCATCAGCTACATTTAATCTAAACCTCTGCGTCCATACAAAGTCACCTAAAGCTATCACCCTATTATTAACCAACTCTAACCGGGACCCTGTGCTTCAGACTAACATTCAAGCTCTTCCTTCTCGTAGTCAGATAGTTCCTCCAACTTTTTTGTTCACACTTCCCAGTGGTAAGCTTTCCCCTCAGCCTTCAGACTACACCTTCTGTTCCTCTTATTTAGATGGCTCAGATACAAACTCCAATGAAGACCTTTCCACTCCACCCTGCCCTATAGATATTAACATACCAAACTATTCATCTGCTCTTGCCTTCAAGTTATTCTGAAAATCCTATCTCTAGGTCTGTGTTTCTAGTTTCTCCATCTCCTCCCATCCCTTTTTACTGGCTATATCCCCATTCACCACTTACAATGTGCTACGAACCATGCTTCTGACAGCATCATGATTTAGACACGTGCCTTTGTCATCTTCATTCACAGGCAGTTTGTGCAGCCTGCTCTGCTTCAGTGAATAGTAGTTTGTGAATATATTTGTGAGCAGAAATTGAAAATCCCAAGGCCTTCCATCTAGAAACATGTTCTATATAATCCCGTCAGTTGGTTTATTTTAGCAGTTATCATTTTACGGTCAGATAACAAATATTTATCTGACTTATAGCTTGCCTACTTCTTGGCTGTGTTTCATTTATTTTTTTTTTGTTGTTATATCAGACCTTCACAGATGCCAAACTTAATTTGCTGAGTAACTCTATCCGTGGCTTAGGCAATGATTGAGCCTCTGGTTTTTCTCTCCATGGCCTTGAGTTCCAATCCATCTTAGAAATAGGAAATGAAGGTCAAACTGAGTGAGTGTACATTTAAAGTATCAAGCTGTCTTTAAATTGGCAATCTTGCTCAGTGACCACTGGCCTTGAAATATGATTGCAATAGGGATAACCCTGTGAGCTGTGGCTGCCTACTGGCTCTGATTCATGCTGACCACACGGTATGAGTTCTGGATCTATCCTGCTTTCCCACCATTGACACCTCTGAACTTGCTATGCCCCGCACTTGCTCTATTGAAGGATGTGCCATGTGGTTCAGTACTGGTAAATACCAAAAAGATCCTAGTCTGATCTGCAGTGAGCTTTGTCATCACAACTTTAGCCAGTGCAAGTAGCTTTGGTATCTCTGGATCAAAGAACAAATATATCAGCCAAGGGTCCCACTCCAGCCTGAAATCCAGTGGTCACATCTTCAATGTGGATGTCAAGGAAATACATATTCTGATTCAATTGTAGTGAATCCTACAATTAAATAAGGACACCCATCTTCACTGCCTGGTCTCACATGAGGAATTGATTTTGACACATTTTTCTAGATACCTGTTCAATATAATCTGCCCTCTTATCTTTTCAATATATTCTTTGCTTTTTATCTGTATTATCAGATGTTAGAGTCTTGTCTTGAAGAGATACTGGTAGAATAGTGGGAAGGACTGATGTCTCTGGCAGTGTCTTTTTTATTTCTTCTTTGTTCAGGTGAAAAACTGGGAATGGGTTGATCATATCCTACTGTAAGGTTCAGGAGGATAAGTCTCCTGACTGGTGCCCATTCACAGCCTAGGAATCCTATGTCATTCCGCAATTCTAGGTCTGGTATAGCATGCTGTCTGGTCAACTCCAGAATGTTTTCAGAATAGTTTCTTAGAACAGCACAATCTATAAACTTCTTATCTAGGCTACCCTTGCCCATCTGATTTTTCCAGCCTACATATAAATTAAGGTATTATTGCCATACCTTTCTGACAAACCTTCATTTTTCCTTCTTTTCCTCGCAATCATGCTCTGTAGTTAAATAGGGGGACTGTACCCCACTCTCACGTGACTTCTTGCTGTTATAATTTCTCATCTCTCCTCAAACTGTACCTAAATCCTGGTTTCCTGAATTTCCATCATCCCTCTGTATTGTACTAATACTATCAATAACTGACAGAGCTATCTCAGCACCTTTTCATAGCTTCCTGTTCTTCCTAACTATCCTGTATGCTTTAATATTCAGGTTTTAATCTATGTCACTTATACAGCTATATTTTCATAACCTGCTATCAGGTTGTGTTTTTATATTTCTATCTGCACAATCTATTCATCTCTTTCATTCTGAATGTTTTGTGCATTCAAATACTGAATTTAGTTTTGTCCTTTTATTGTTTTTGTAACTTCTCACCTTATCTGTTGATTTACTCTTAGATTTGTACTCACTATGCCTTCCTACTACAGTCTGTTTATCAAATTCCATGCTATCTATACTTAACCCGTTTCCTTGTTCTACCTATGTCCTCGATACCTACATGGATCAGAATGACTGGATCCTCTCCTTCACACTGCTGGGTCCTTTCCAGCCCTGTGCACATACCACTAACCCTGGCACAGAACACAACCAGCCGGACTCATTCTTTAATGCAAAGAACAGTTTCAGTCCTCTTTATTATATAATCCTGTACTACTGCTACATTCTTTTTTGCTCCCCCCCATGAATGGCTTTCTGTAACCCAGTCAGCTCGCTCATCCATCCTGCAGGTCTCAGTCTCATTCAAATAAGCTGTAAGCACCTCAAACCTGTCAGACAATTGTGAAGGCTAAGGCTCCTCAACCTCCTGGGTCCCCATATCTGTTTCATTCTCAATCACATTCGCCTATCCCTGCTCATTGAGCAAATCAGAAGACTCAATCCTAATGGGTGCCACTGCATCCTGGAATGAAGTCTCCAGTAACTCCTCTCTGATTCATTGCAATTATCCTCCAGCTCAATCTCTGAACCAGAAGTCTTGAGTCTGAAAATGCTTGGCCCAAATGTTCTTGCCCCGTATCAGCTTGGGTAAAGAAGCCAGATTTCCAGAATCTAATAGACATTTTCCCCAACAATGAAAGATAGCTTTGTGGTCACCAATAACTGAGACCAGCTATTCCAAATACCATTATATTCCAGATATTATTTGAATTTAAGTTTCCCAGTTGCTATGGTGGAATTTGAACCCTTGTCCCCCGACCATTGATCTGGACCTCTGGATTATTAGTCCAATGACATTACCACTATGGTTCTATGTTCTATGTTCTATCTCCCTTTATGCAAGGTAAAGGATACTTAAGCCTTGGCAAGAATGGTGACGTCTGCAGTTCCCACACATTGGGCTGTGCATTCCATCATCATAGAACTAAAGCAGAATGAAAGGTCACTGGCAAAGGCTAGAGCAAGGATACCTCATACCAAATAAAAACCAAAAGAAAACTGTGGATGCTGTAAATCAGGAACAAAAACAAAGTTGCTGGAAAAGCTCAGCAGGTCTGGCAGCATCTGTGTTTTCTCCTCCAGAGGTTAACATTTTGGGTCTGGTGACCCTTCCTCAAAACTGAGTTCTGAGGAAGGGTCACTGGACCCGAAACGTTAACTGTTTTCTCCTCCACAGATGCTGCCAGACCTGCTGAGCTTTTCCAGCAACTTTGTTTTTAATACCTCATACCAACTTCAACCTGGGTAAGGAGTGCCTCTTATTCATACTTAACTAATAGAGCAGCCATGCATTCGTGGACAGATGTTTGAATGTACTTCCTGTCCCCATCGTACGCATTTCACAGGACATCAATAACTTTGACAGTCTTCTGTTACCGTCACATTGCTCATTCTGATGCATCCTGTGCTTTTTCCCCACAGAGGCGCTCTCACTGGCTGTCGTCATTGGCGTAGCAGTTGGTGCTGGAGTGGCTTTCATTGTCGTCTTGGCAACCATCACGGTTATTTGCTGCTCGCGCTCCCAGAGAAGTAAGTGGCTGTGTGGGATGGAAGCTTCTTATGATCAAAAGATAAAATACCAATCCATGCATTAAGTAAGAGGGCAAAACTATGGTGAGATGGTGTTCAATGTTGGGAAGTGTGAGGGCATCAACATTAGACAGAAGTGCAACAAACTGTCGTCATATTTTATAAATGACTTGAAACTAAGAACAGAAGCGAAGTCCAATTGTATAAACCATTCATACCCAGTGGACAGGTATAAAAACAATCACAGGCTCAAGCGAGTTAGAGTACAAAGGAGTGGTAGTCACAATTCAGTTTACCAGCATTAATCAGACCCAAAAATGGAATAATGTTTAGTTTTGCACACAGCACTCCAGCAGCAATATAGGTTGGGTTTGGCAGATATACCAGAACCATCAGTTAGAGAGTTAAAATTATCAAGCAGGTTGCACAGGTTCAGCTTGTGTTCCACTGAGCATAGAAGATTGAAGGGTAATTTCAGAGTTGCTTAAAATGTTAACCATATTCAGAATGTTAGATACAGAGAAACTGGTGTGGGAATCATGAGTGAGTGATCATGATCTTTCTATTTGAGCTGGGCCATTCAGGAGTGAAATTGGAAGCACATTTTACACACAAAAGCCAGAAAGATATGAAATTCTCTTCCCTGCATCCCAGAATGAAGAACTAGTAATGCTTGGAAATAACTCGGGTCATATATGCAGTTCCATTTCAACACAGGCAAGATTTGTTTAGACCAAAATGAGTCAATTTAAAGAATTCTTGGCTTTTCCTTTCACTGGGACACTTGGAGCTTTCAAGACTGGGTATAAATTTTTGTTGGGTAAGGATATGAAAGAATATGGAGCATGAGTAAGTCAATGGAATTGATGAACAGATGCACCATTATTAAATAGAATCTTGGAAAAACAAAGAGATTTACTCCTGTTCCTATATTCCCACACTTCCACAAACCCTAGTGTTTTACTTCCAATTACAGTCACCCACTTACTCAGCTATCTTATATTGTCTCAGCCTCTGTCCCAATCATATCCAGGCCTTTCTTCAGAACTACATCTTTCATTTCAGGCATGTCCATCCTCCACCACATCTACCATTCAACCAGGTTTCTCATCTACATGTGCTAACCAACAAAATGGGGCAGAAAGTAATTTGTACAAAGGCAGGTCGGTAATTTTGAACCATGTATTTGACTGCTGGAAACTGGAGAACTGAGGAATGCGATGCCATTCACGTGTTCACACTTTGAAGGGGCTACAGGTGCACAATCTGTACCACCCAGTTAAAAAAAAACCCATGAGCAAAAAAATTGGAAGCTAAAGAGTTTTCAAGTAGTTGATTGGAGTGCCGCTCACTTTAATATTCCAGAGTATTTCATTACAGCTCGAAAAAAACATTTATGGTGGATAACGAAAATCCCATCTGGTATACGCATTGACAATTGTCAAGTGAAGAGTTTTCTTCCATCCTTCACAAAGACTAACTGTCTGAGAGAGATTAAACCATTGCGACGGCATCATTTTCCTTTCATCAACAGAAAACAAATTTCAGGTAATGTCTACCCAAATCCCACTTCTTATGAATTATCATGTGTAACCATAGAGTAGCTTCCTTCACATCACTTATCAACATGACTAGATGCTGTCTCCCTGAAACTCTTCACCACCTCACCTTGGCTCCCCAAGCTTCTGCACTAGGTGGACAATCTCATCGTCTCACCTCACAGCCTCAACCTGAAAATATTCAGTAGGAGCATAAATCTTCGCAGGTGGCAAGCATGAGTTGTTTTGACTTGGCTTCTTTAACTGTCAAAAGCCATGCTTCCATCCCAGATTCACTGTGAATAATGCTCCTTTGAATGTGTCTTTTTTTATTGCTCCCTTGCTCTGAATTTCACCCTGCGTTCTTCTTCTGCCCCTGCTGAAATCAAGATTCATCACATTGCCGCCAACTCTTCCTTATTGTTTATCAAGTGTTCAAAAATGTATGACTCCTTCCTCCTCACAATATTCCTTTGCCCTTACATTCTACAGAGTTTTTTTTTAAACAAGCGAGTTCTGGTGTCCTTGAACCAAAACTTCTTGAAGTTTATTTATTTTACCTTCAATGTTGGTTCTCCCCTCAGTTTCTTCAAATAATGGATGCATCTGCACATTTGTTATAGGTGACATTGTCTGTTGTTGTTCTTCTGAGGAAGGGTCATCCGACCCAAAACGTAACTATGATTTTTTCTTCACAGATGCTGCCAGACCTGCTCAGCTTTTCCAGCAACTTCTGTTTTTGTTACTCTTGCCTCTGAGGTTGTGATGTAAGCCTCAGTCTAATGGCTTGAATGTGACAAGTCAAGTAAGGGAGTGCAGCTCTGTTGGAGAGGCTGTGTTTCAGACAAGATGTTAAACTAAGGCGTGTCTGCCCAGCCAGATGGATGCAAAAGCTCTGCAGGCATAATTTCAACAGGGAAGGGACAGTTTCCCACAGTCCTGGTTAATACATATTCCTTGACCAAGACTGCAGAAACAGATTGCCTGGTCACGATCACAACTGTTCATGCAAGATTGCTGTGTGCACAATGGCTGTCACAAATTTTAGATTACAAATGCAGTAAAAACTGAATGTGTTTTGGAGAAAATCAGCATCTGTGGAGACAGAAACAGACTCAACATTTTGATTCCAATATAAATCTCTTTCAGACATCATGAAAAGACATTGGTTAAATGTAAAACCCTTTGGGAAGTCCTGAAGTTCTGAAAGACACTGTAGAAATACAAGTCCCAGGATCTTGTGATGTGATGTCCTGGGTTGGGAGGTCCCAATTCAAATCACACTTGCCCTGGAGGCTTACGAGAACATTTGAAAAAGTGATTAAAAATTATTTTTAGAAATACAAGTCCATGGTTGTTGTACAGAACTATGAAGCAAGGAATTTGGTCTTGAACAGAGAAGCCAGTTACATTTTTCACACCATATCCAATTCTTTTCATGACTATAGATTTGCAGTCTCAACCTTCTTTACCATCCAAAGCCAATTTATCCTCCTTTCTTTTGCAATGTCAATAGGGTGGCATTGACACTGGAATACAAACAGAGTGAGCCTCTACCAGCACCCAAAATACTTAGGGGAATTGGGCAAATTCACTCCCGAAATCCCCAAAACACCCAGGAACTTAAATCATGAGGTAGGCAGCCAAACATAACAGATAAGTCACCCTCATGAGCAACATTCTGTCGAAGTTGTGTGACTGAGCATGCGTGCAGTTTTTCAGAGGTTCTGCTCATATTCACAGCATTGACCTCTGGTTCCGGAAGTCACTGTCACACCTGGCACCCGGAGGTCTGCTCAGAAGGGAAAAAAAGCAGGATTGCTGCTCGTGAGTCGAATGATCAGTATTGATGGAGGAGTTGCTCCTCCAATGACAGGCTGGATCGTTCCCCTGCTTACAACTGACAGGTTGTTGTTTACAGCCTGGAGGAAAGTGCACAGAGTAAGGGAGTAAGAAAGAAAAGAAAGTTATGAGTTACCAACAGAAAGCCTTTTGCTGGGATTTGAGTAGGGATAAGCCAAAGGAGGGGGTGACTGAGAAGCTGGTACCAGGCAGCCATCTGCTGGGTAAATGGGGTTGCTGATGTGGAGGTGCAGGATTGAAGGATGATAGGGAAGGAACAGAGTACATATGGGTTCCAAGGGAGGTCAATGCTGCATGCAAGGTTGGTGTTAGAAAGAAGCTGCAAAAGGTGGTGAGGAGGGTAGAAGGGATGATTGAGAGGTAGGCTACAAGGTCTGGGGGTGTGGCATGCCATGTTGCAGTAGGGGAAAAGAAAGGGTAGTGGAGAAGGAAACTGTAAACAAGAAAAAACAATTTTAAATCTATTAACAAAAGACAACTCAGCTAATCCAGAGTTGTGAAAATCTGGAATCATCGAGATCGTAAATTTCTTACAAATGACTGTGGAATCTCAAATTTAAAGCTGCATGTTTTGAGCAGCCATTAAAATGGAGGAAGGGGATTTGTGGTGAATGCTACCATAATGAACATTTTGTCTATTGTTCTATTTAAATCTGTGATTGAGATTCAAATAAGTGGTAGTAACTGCCTGATAAAAAATGTTCTAACTTTGTGAATATTCAATGCAAATGCCTTAGCTTTGACATCACCATTCTGTGGCAGGTATGTTTAAGGTGATAGCTTTTTGTGTCGAAGCATGCGTCAATTTTTTGAAAAAAGAATTTATTGCTAACATATGCTTGTTGTCTTTTGCCAATTGGGGTACCAAATTAAGAAACAGAACTTCAAAGGTCACTTCCCTGAGCCATGTGCAAATTGTCATAGGGCAAATCAGATTAGAGAGATGAATGCATGACTCAAAGACTGGCATGGGAGAAGTAGATTCCAGTTTGTGGAGCTCTGGCATCTATATGTAAAGTGAAATCAGTACTGATGGAATGATCTTCACTTGAGTTATCCGAGGACCGATGATCTTGCCAACCACAAAACTAGGTAAGTAAAGAGAATTTTAAACTAAAAAGTGGAGGCAAGGAATCAAATTTGGAAACCTCTGCTAAGTCAAAGAGAAGTGGCAAGGTCAAAGAGGAAGGTATTAATATGGGAAATGATAAATAGACCATGAGAAGAAAGGAAAAAGAATAAAAATCTAAGGATCATCCGACAGAGAAGATTAAAGTTTACAAAGAGAGTAAAAGGATAAATTAAAGGTTTTGTCTTCGAATGCATGCAGCATTCAAAACTAAACAAATAAACTGAGTGAAAAAAAGAAATTTAACGTACAATCTGGTAGACATTTGCTGAGACATGGTAGCAGGATGACTTGAATATTGCAGGATGCAGGTAAAGTAGAAAGGACAGGAAACTAAGAAAAAGTGACAACTTTGTTAGTTAATAATGGCACTAGCACAATAGGGAGGGAAGACCGGAGTTCAGAAAACTGGAATGTGGAAACTGTTTGGTAAGAAATGGCAAATGATAAAAGCAAGAAGTCATTTGTGGGAGTTGTGTACAAGCCCACTAATAGTAACCACATGGAAGAATGGAGGATAAAAAAAGAGAAATTGTTGGAATGACTCAGCAATAATCATCTGAGATTATAATCCATGTACAGAGTAGAGCGATCAGATGCACAAAGATAGATGACGAGTTCATTGAATATTTTTGGGTAATCTCTTACAATATTATGTTCTAGAGCCAGAGTGTAGGTTGGTATTGTGCAATGAGGTAGGTTTAATGGATTTTCTTGTAGTGAAGGTAGCAATGACCATAATATCTTAGAACTTTACAATCATTTTGAGGGAGAGTGGATTTGGTTTGAGACATTTAAAAAAGGAATTATGAGGGCATAAAAGCAAATCTGGCTAAAAGTGACTTGGCATATTATGTTATGAAATTGGTTAATAGAGATGCAGTGACAGACATTTAAGGAGACATTTCAGAATAAACAGAATCAACACATTTCAATGAGTAAGAAAAGTTCCAAGAGATGGACCTATGTCAGCGTTTAACTAAATGTTAAAGATATCAAACTTTTTTAAAAAAGCACAAAATTGTGCAAAGACAGGTGGCTGGTCAGACGATTGGACAGAATATTAAAAAAAAACAGCAAAATAGAGTACATAAAAAGCTAAGCTTTAAAGAAGAAAATAGAGAGCAAAGTGTGGAAGAAAGCAGTGGAAAATTGAACATGTATTTTGCTTCAGTTTTCTGTTTTAAAGAGGATACAACTCCAGCGAATATATTCATTACTGATCCAGTCTCTCTAAACATGTCAGTCCTGCCATCCCAGAAATCAGTCTGGGAAATCCTTATGGCACTCGCTCCATAGCCAGAACATTGTTCCTCAGATAAGGAGGAACTTGCATGTTTTCCCCATGCCTGCATGGGTTTCCTCCGGGTGCTCCAGTTTCCTCCAACAGTCTAAAGATGTGCAAGTTAGGTGGATTGGCCATGCTAAATTGCCTATAGTGTCCAGGGATAGGCAGGCTGGATTAGTCGTGGTAAATGCGGAGTTATGGGGATAGGGTGCGTGACTGGGTCTGGATGGGATGCTCTTCCGAGATCAGTGCAGAAATTGTTGGGTCGAATTGCCTCTTTCCGCACTGTAGGGATTCTATGAGACAAAAACTGCAAACAATATTCCAGGTGTGGTCTTGCCAATGCCTGGTAAAATTGCAGCAAGACATCCTTATTTCTGTACTCAAATCCTCCTGCTATGCTTACTTTCAGCAATTGTTGTACAGGGCCACCCAGGTCTCATTACACCTCTTCCTTTCCCAATCTATTGCCATTCAGGTAATAATCTGCTTTCCTGTTTTTGCTATCAAAGTGGATAACCTCACATGTATTCACATGATGTTTCATCTGCCATGCGTTTTCCCGTTCACTCAACTTGTCCAAATCACACTGAAGCACCTCTGCATTCTCCTCACAACTCATCCTCTGACCCAGCTTTGTGTCATCTACAAACTTAGAAGTATTACATTTAGTTCCCTCATCTAAATCATTAATATATATTGTGAATAGCTGGGGTCCAAGCAACGATCCCTATGGCACCATACTAGTCACTGCCTGCCAAACAGAAAAAGACCCATTCATTCCTACTCTCCGTTTCCTGTCTGCTAATTGGTTCTCTATCCATGTCAGTACACAATCCCCAATTCCATGCGCTGTAATGTTATATGTTAGTCTCTTACTTGGGACCTTATCGTTTAAGAACTTCACACTTACCTTGTATTCTGTGGTCTTAGGTTTAATGGTCGGTTGATAATTTTTGAGGACTTTGTTGAAGTATTCCAATCCTGCTTCTGTGTGAGTCCAAATGCTGTATTAAGTCAACACAGAAGGATCTGTATATTCTTATTACTAGCTAACTGCAACTGCCAACAGGTAGGTTACAGAATGTGGGAAAGGAGCCCCTGAAAACCAAAAATTAGTTCTCAAAAGTCAAGAAGTAGCCCTCAAAAAAATCTGAAGAAGAACCCTCAAGATAAGAAGTATATTGGCAGGCCTCTTACCTTTGAACAAAATTCAGTTTCACTCCGTAAGAGTCTGTGCTATGAATGAGATTTGCAGTAGGTATAAAAGAGAGAGGTGAAGGTGATTTTTCTCCTTTTCTGCTTTTCCCTCAGCTCCACAGATTTTACCCGATAATGTAATCTAGGAAAGAATCGAAAGAATGGTGGATGCTGTAAATCAGGAGCAAAAACAGAAGTTTCTGGAAAAGCTCGGCAAATCTGGCAGCATCTGTGAAGAAAAAAAATCGGAATTAATGTTTCGGGTCTGGTGACCCTTCTTCAGAAAGTAATCTAGGAACTCTCCTATTAGAGCATCAGAGTACATTTCTGATCACTGGTATAGGGATCATAATCTGGAGAGGCCTGCATACCACTCCACTCTAGGCCAGCATATGGTGACTTGGTTTTATATTTAGAAAACTATTTGTATCATAATTTTTTTTATAACTCCCTAAAATATATGGGGCAGTGAATGATGGATTAAATTTCTCATTAGTTGTGTCACTGGGAACAGACCACCTGATAGCACAGTGAATGGGAGTGCAGCACGACTGCTCCCGGGCTGCACCCTGCAATACCAGTCACTGAGCACCGAGAGATGTCAGAGAAATATTAGAGATTGTATAACCTTTTCCAATAATTTATGTCCTTCCAACAAGTCTTTGATTTTTTTTTTTTCCTTTGTTTTAAATTCGTTATAACTTTCTACCCAAACAAGCTACTAAGAGTGGTGTCTTCTACACTGGAGTGAGTTCTTCACTCACCAGGACAGCAACGAAACATTCTAGAACAAAGCAGGCAAAGAGCCCCCTCTTTCGTCTATGTAAAATCAGTCTGAACGCATGTTAAACGGGAAACATAATTGCAGAGTTCCTGTCATTAAACTCTAATGACAGTTTTCATTATAATGAAAAACTATTGGAAACAAAATGACAACTAATGAACATTACCACGTCTCCAAAGTGGGGCCCCTGAGTAGAAGTCAGAGAGGACTCTCATCAGATTCCTCCCCGAACTGTTCATGCCCTACAGTTGTCGCCATCCCTTTCTTTCTCCTTAACATACATTTCTCTCAGCTGTATTAAGCCCTACAAAGTGTTGTCCCCACACTTGTAGAAGACATCTGATAAAGTTATGTAAGAAAGGCCTTCAGTAAGGTGGAATTCATTGATGACGTGTTGTAAGGCTTGGTTATAGATGAGAAATTAAAAAAAAAAAAATGGATGGCACCTGTCAGCAAAGTTATACCAGAATTGGAGTGGGATGTATGAATAGGGGATTTATATACAAAGCCCACGGCTGTTTGTGGACATTAGCAGGTTGGATTCAAGAATCCATTGCAATTTTGTCAAACTCATGAATGATGTCAGACTAGAAAAGGCAGCAGAATGAATTAGCGAAAACAGACCATTCAAAGTACGCTGGTGATAGAAAAATGGCAGATACATTACTTACAGAGTACTGTATATAACATACTGAACAAATGAATGTGCATGCTCTCCATAAATGGTGATGAAAAGAACAAACAATAATCTATCAAGAAAGGAACTAGGCTCTTAATCATCTTAAGGTTCTGTATCAACAGCTGACGCGATGAACAAAGCTGGGGAAGTTCTGAGGAAGGGTCACCAGACCCGAAACGTTAACTCAGATTTTTTTCTTCACAGATGCTGCCAGACCTGCTGAGCTTTTCCAGCAACTTCTGTTTTTATTCCCGATTTACAGCATTGACAGTTCTTTCAGTTTTCAAAGCCAATAAAATGCCGATAGAGCTAAAAGACAGGGCATATCACATAATGCATATTGCTCTTGCTAAACCCCAACTTCATCATCGTGTCCAGTTCTAATTTGAGCCTGAGAATTCAAGCATCAGTTATGAAAAAAGACAGAAGGAATTTTGATGTCAAGCATTGAAAAGAACACCAGATTTGATCGTTTCAGGATATGCAAGATGATAAACAGTATAGTCTACGGAGTGAATTTCATGGAGACAGCAAGGAGTTTCAGCCACCAGGTGGAGAGCTTTCAAAACACCCACCTTGCTTTCTTTCAGGAACACCCACCAAATTACAAGACAATCAGACGATTAACAGGCCAGTAGCAAGTCTTCCAAGGTTCAAAGAACCCTGGTACAGATCCCATGCCTGTGTAGAGTGCCTGGCCAATCACAGGCTGGTAGCGCTTTTATTCAGAAGGGCCACCAGAAGATGAAGGTTGCTACAGGAAATGCAGCAACTGGAGGCTTACAGTCATTGAGCCAGTCAGGGAAGAAGTGAATGATAGTAGGAGGGTTCCACAGGGTCAGAGCTGCAGGTGAGGACATTGTAGGGTCACTCTGTGCACATCCCTCCATTCAGAAGCTGTAACACTCAATCAGGTATTGAGTGGAGGACCACAAGCAATCCACACAGTCATGTTCCCTGCATGGTTACAGGCTAGGCAGATAGCAGAAGGATCAAGATGAGGTCCTATCGCATTAATTTCCCAGTTAAGGATCGGAATTGGGGCAGAAGACACATTCATGGACCTACCCATCGTGGGCTTAATCGGGATGGAGGTGGGAAGGTGAATATTTGTCAGTTAAGTATCTACTGCCTCCAAATTCACCATAGGAGTAATCATAAAATACCTCTGATGGACACAGGAAATAGACCAGAGTAATTTTAAAAAAAAATCCAGTTGTAACTATCAAAATTTCCTAAGTGGTTACCCTCTTTTGGAGGATGGGCCTGTTGGGCTGAATTGCCTCTTGATGCAATGATATGAAATATTATATGCCCTGGATTTAACTTGTTTGTCACAGAGAGAATAGGGTGGATATAAATCAGACCTGTGCTGGCTGTGAACTTACACCAAATCCAGTTTAGCTATGCTCCCAGTAAAGTAACAACCCCATTTTCAAATCTTTCTGTAGCTTCACCCTTCTCTACTGCTGCAGGCTGTAGCACTCGAAGGTGTCTTCACTCCTCTAATTCTGAATGACTTTAATCAGTGTGCTACCAGTGGCCATGCCTATTGTTGTGTCAGCCCTTAGCTTTGGAATTCCCTCCCTAAGACTCTTTTTCTCCATCTTGTTTTCCTCCCTTAATACAGTTTTTAGTTATCTACCCTATTATCTCCATAAATGGCAAATATCAAATTTTGTTAAATAAAGCTCTGTGAAGCAATTCAAAAAGTTTCATTAACAACTTCCTTTTGTTTTGTTAAATACCAGTTATGCACCTGGTTTAACTTAAGCAGAGAATAAAAATCAGGCATCTGACCAAAACTATTCCCTGTTCCCTCTGGGGCATTTTTGTCAAAATTGGCATCAAACAATTAAGAACAAAGAAAATTACAGCACAGGAACAAGCCGTTTGGCCCTCCAAGCCTGCACCGACATGCTGCCCATCACAACTAAAACCCCCTATCCTTCCGGGGACCGTATCCCTCTATTCTCATCCTATTCATGTATTCGTCAAGACACCTTTTAAAAGTCACTATCGTATCTGCTTCCACAACCTCCCCTGGCAGCGGGTTCCAGGCATCCACCACCCTCCATGTAAAAAACTTGCCTCATACATCACCTTTAAACCTTGCCCCTCTCACCTTAAACCTATGCCCCTTAGGAACTGACTCTTCCACCCTGGGAAAAAGCTTCCGACTGTCTACTCTATCCATGCCCTTCATAATCTTGTAGACATCTATCAGGTCGCCGCTCAACCTCCGTCGTTCCAGTGAGAACAATCCAAGTTTCTCCAACCTCTCCTCATAGCTAATGCCTTCCATACTAGGCAACATCCTGGTTAATTCTTTTCTGTACCCTCTCCAAAGCCACCACATCCTTCTGATAGTGTGGCGACCAGAATTGAACACAATATTCCAAATGCGGCTTAACTAAGGCTCTATAAAGCTGCAACATTACCTGCCAACTTCTAAACTCAATGCCCCGGCCAATGAAGGCAAGCATGCCTTATGCCTTGTTGACAACCTTCTCCACCTGCGTTGCCACTTTCAGTAACCTGTGTACCTGTACACCTAGATCCCTCTGCCTATCAGTTCTCTTAAGGGTTCTGCCATTTATTGCATATGTTCCATCTGGATTAGACTTTCCAAAATGCATTACCTCACATTTTTCTGGATTAAACTCCATCTGCCACCTCTCTGCCCAAGTCACCAACCGAGCTATATCCTGCTGTACCCTCTGATGGTCCTCATCAGTATCTGCAATTCCACCAACCTTTGTGTCATCCGCAAACTTACTAATCAGACCAGTTATATTTTCCTCCAAATCATTTATATATATTACAAATAGCAAAGGTCCCAACACTGATCCCTGAGGAACGCCACTAGACACAGCCCTCCATTTAGAAACACACCCTTCCACTGCTACCATCTGTCTTCTGTGACCGAGTCAGTTTTTTTATCCATCTTGCAAGCTTACCTCTGACCCCGTACAACTTTACCTTCTGTATCAGCCTGCCATGAGGGACCTTGTCAAAGGCCTTACTGAAGTCCATGTACACAACATCCACTGCCCTACCGTCATCGATTATCTTCATCACTTCCTCAAAAAACTCAACCAAGTTCGTGAGACATGACCTCCCCTTCAAAAAACCTTGTTGCCTCTCGCTAATTATTAACAAAAATCTCTCTAATTTGTTGACAATTCAAAATTCAGTTTCCTTCCAACTTCCTTTATAATATTCTCCCAGTTCTAAAAACAGTTCTCATTGCGTCTTGCCTCAATCCAAAGAGGCCTGCTTAAATCTAATAAGGTCTGAGAGCAGTGATAATGTGCTGATTCAACCACCTTCCTACTGAATGCAAGCTGTTGGATTGTGGCTGACTGGAATACACCTGAAGTCACCTGTTAATCGGGATTCAGAAATGATTTTGTGTTGAATGCCTATGATTAAGACAGCTATTCAACAGGAGGAGTAGAAAATTCCAATTCCAGCTTCTTATGCATCCCCAATATTTTTTGCTGCTAAGTATATAGCTGTGAAATGCCTTGAAAGTTTTTACTAAATGTGATGTGCAAATAAAAATTGTTGGTTTTGTTGATTTAAGTTTCAACTCAGGATTTTTAAAGAATTTCTCAGCTCCTTCCTTCTATTTTTATGAGATTCTCAGTAGAGACATGAAACATGCCACTTACTG